TGAGAAAAATAGATTAATTAAAATCACCCTTCTATGGTTCTATAAATCAAACAAATTATTATAAGTAATAAAACTATACAGCTTGTGAAAAATGTATTTCTTCTCATGAGATGATGATAAAGTTCTTACCCATTTGGAGGACTTTTGTGTTTCATGTTACTGAGTGGTAGCAAATGATGACTGGTTTAACTGGGTTATTTCATATCTTCTTGGGTAAACTATGGTACTGAAGCATTTAATTCTAATTTTAGGAAGAAATTATTTTGACTTCTGTAGTTTATACTTTGTGAATGGAATAATGCAAAATAATAATTTGGAAGAACCAGGATATGTTTCTAATAGACAATATTATAAAACTAGTAGTCTCACTGTTTCTGTTCTTGGAAATCATATTAGACAAATATAACTATTTACTTCACTTATTTGATGATATAGTTATTTCTTGTAGTAATCTAATTTTTATAGATCTAAACATTTCCTTTAGCCCACCACAGCATTGTCAGAASTGGTTCTACAGTGCCTTAAGATCCTTATAATCTGAATAATGCAATCTAAATATTGATATATTATTATAAAGCTTAAGAGAACCTTTTAGTTATACTTTATTATTAGGAGGAAAGATACAGAGTAATAATTTTGTGCCTGCTCATAACACAGATACTAACTTAAACATAATAGATTAAAATTATGATAATTCTATTTAAAATAGTGTGATAAAAAATCTGAATTTCATGGCTTTTGAAGGYATGATTTTTCAGTGAAGAAATGTGCAAGTATGTTAGGTGTCAGCATTTTGTTTTTATTTTGTTTTCTCTTTGTATACTTTTCTGTATACAGCACCCACATCGTTAAGCTTCTATCTTCAAAATGAAGTTTCTTTTAGAAGGTCTATGAGAATTATCTATGTAACAATTGACTTACTCCTATTAGTCAATTCTTCAGGATACGCACAACTTCCTGACAACTTCCTGGATTTTAAAGAGCCTTTTCTGAGACTACATTTCCACTTGGGCAAAGCTAAAAATTAAAAGAAAACATTGCACAAATACCAATACTTGCTTTTAAGGTTAATGAGTTTTATGACAGTAGTGGGAATTACTGGAAATATCATCAATTTTTCTTCTTTATTATGCTGATTCAAAATTTTCAAGCTCCCTAAGGTAAAGACTCACAGAAATGTTCTTTTTTCCTGAATAATTACCCTATGCATTAATCTCAAATAGGATTTAAAAACAAAAATAGAACAAATATGCTTCTGTAGAAWTGACTGCTGTGGATCAAGTTGGTGATACTGCTATTTTGCTGCAACCAAATTGGATAATAAGCTTTTATTTAGGGAATGATTTAGTCAGCTTTTTCTCTGACGTAACTAAAGGACCTGATGAGAACAATTTTAGAAGAGGAAAAGTTTATTTGGGGGCTCATGGTTTCAGAGGGCTCAGTCCATACATAGATCACTGATTCCATTCTTTGGGGCTCATGATGAGGCAGGACATCATGGCAGAAGAGTGTGACAGCATGGAGCAGTTCAGGGGATGATCAGAGAGCAGAGAGAGAGATTCCACTCTCCAGTTACAAAATCTRTACCCTAAAGGCACACCACCAATGACCCACCTTCTTCATTCACACCTTACCTGCCTTCAGTTATCACTCAGTTAATCTCATCAGAGGATTAATTCACTGATTGGGGTTAAGGTTTTCATAACCCAATCATTTCTCCTCTAACCCTTTTTGCATTGTCTCATACATGAGCTTTAAAAAGGGAGACATCTCACATCCAAACCATAACAGGGAGTAAGGTTTGCATGCAGTTAAGATTTGGATTTACTGAGAGATATTAAAACCAGGTGTTCTTCCTCTGTTCAATCCCTTGTTGCTTTCCACCTCTAGCTTTAGCTCTACTCTGTATCTATCTATGTATTCTCTCTGCATGTTTAGAAAGATATAGAACTTATCTAGGGTAGTATAGGTACTAACCAATTCATTTTTTTCCTCCCTCAAAAYTGTGTCAGAAGTGAAGGAATATTTGTTTTCATTCTATATTGTAAATTACTTAAAATTTGGAATAGTAAGCACGTTATATTCCTCATGCTACTGGTAGACTGATAGGTATCTCACTTGAAAATACCTGATGTGTTATTAGTTGCCAAAGTGCTTGTTGAATGAATTAATTACCAGGAATTACTACTTAGTAGAAATTTATAAAAAGCTGTTAAAGAGAAGAGTTTATATAAATGTCTAGATCAGACTCTGGGACTCAATTTTTTAAGCTCTAATCATTTTCTTGGTTATTCTTATTTATTCCGCTTTTGAAAGTTATATAAATAGCATGTATTCATTGTTAAAAATGCAGAATGTTAAAAAGAAGTAAATTATTCATAATCCCACTACCCCAAAATGATATTTTTTGTGTAAACATTTTGTTATATATACTTTCAGATTTTATTTTATTCAAACATATGCAATCAGGCCTCTATATCCAAGGGTTCACATTTGTGAATTCCACCAACTGTAGATTGAAAATATTTGGGAAAAATTGCATCTGTGCTGAATGTGTATAGACTTTTCTCTTGTCATTATCCCCTAGATAATACAGTATTACAATTGTTTACATAGCATTTGCATTGTACTAGGTATTATTTACATCATACTAAATAATCTAGAGATGACTTGAAGTATGCAGGGGTATATGTGTAGATTATATGTAAATACTATGCCATTTTCTTTAAGGAACTTGAGCATCTAAGCATTTTGGTATCATTGGGGGTGGGGGTCCTAAAGCTAATCCCCCATGGATATAATACTTAATTGTGTTTCCTTACAAAAATATAGCCTTGTGTTTTAGAAACATGTATGTGTTCAATCATATGTGCCTAATTGTACTTCTAACAACTGATTTCATACATCCTGTATCTGTTTAGAGCTCCTAAAAATATTTTTATTTGCTGCCTTCATTCCTCTCCTCCCTTTTGTCTTTAACTCACTCCCACCCTCTGCAGCTCTTCTCAGTCTTTGACCTCCTCTTTCCTAAATCCAGAGGTTAGTTCTCAGCTTACATTTTACTTTACCCGTCAGAAGTATTTGAAACCATTTTTCACTTCCTTATATGGGCTTTTTGTTTTCCTCCTACCTTACTGCTCCATCTTCTCAGATACTTTTACTAATTCCTCTCCAGTTTCATGTCACTAAATGAGCACGTTGTCTTTAAGGGCTCAGTTTAGACTTCTTATCCGTAGGTGATCTGATTCAATCTTAGAGCTTTAAATACTGTCTATATACTGATGACTGGAATGTTATCTCTGGGTTGAGTTTCTCTACTTAGATATTTAATACATGTTTCAAAGTTAATATGTTTGAAACCATCCTCCTCATATATGTTAGACACAAGAAACGACTATTCCTTCTCTAACTCTTTTTGTTGTTGGGGGGGGGGTAACTAGGGATTGAACCTAGTGGCACTTGACCGCTGAGCCACAGCCCCAGACTTTTTTTTTTTTTTTTAACTTAGAGACAGGGTCTCACTGAGTTGCTTAGAGTCTCACTAAATTGCTGAGACTGTCTTTGAACTCGAAATCCTCCTGCTTTAGCCTCCAAGATGCTGAATTACAGGCATGTGCCATTGTTCCTGGCTCTCTAACTCATTAAATGGAAATTTGGCAGTTTTAAACCAGAAACCTTGAAGTCATTTTATACAATTTGGTTAAAATCATTTTATACAGTTTGGATTCTCTGAAAAGCAGACTGAGACAAAGATTAGTAACTGTAAGTTTAGTGCTCTTAGGATCAGCAACTACAGAAAGAAAGAAAAAGAAGGATGGAGGCACAATTTAGGCTGCAGTTTTGTCCTAACAGATCCCATAGAACCTTCAAAGCTAGGATGGCTCATTATGGTTATCCCAAGTTGTTAAGGGTCTRTGAGACTAAATGATATTACGTGGTAAATGAATATAGGCAAGTCCAAAGACTGTAACTTGGAGAACTACAATGCTTCTACCCTCTTGTCAACCACTCATTAGATACAGCCTACACCAGGAAGAGGGCATGAGATTAACTTTTTTCAAATAAAGCCACTCCTCAAGGGTCTGAGAGCTGAAACCTCTCTGCCAACTGCAGCCCCAGCATCTAAGGACTTAAATTTTTCACTCCTGAATGGGGTTCTGGACAATGTACAGTGTTGTCCTCTACATCATTGATAATTCTTCTCTTTTTGTCATTTCCTATATTCAGTCTATCAGGTAAATTTTAGTTCTGCTTTTAGAATATATTCAAAATCTGTCTGCTTTTCACCACCTTTTCTGTTATACTATTTTGTTGGTCCATACCATTATCAGCTCTTGCCTGTTTTATTGTTATGTTCTGTTAACTGATCTGCTTCAACCATTGCTCCTTACTATTGGCCACACAGTAATTAGAGTGATATTTCAAAACAAAGTCACACTCTATTACTCCAGTGTTCTGAACAGTTTTTCCTTCTGCTTAAAATGAAATCCTATCTTCTCACTGCTTCACAATTGGCCCCCATTGCTTTTCTGTTCCTCCTCTCCTCCTAGTTCGCACCTCTTCAGCCATATTGACCATTCAGTCCAGTTTCCCAGCCTCTCTTGGTGTGCTTGTCTGCTATTTTGATGCACTCTCTTTCTCAGCCGGAAAAAGTGTCTGCCATGTCAACATAAATGACTTGCTCAAGGTTATTCAATGAGAAAGTATACCTCAGAGCTCTAAGTTGAGGCATTTTGCTTCTGCAGATTTCTTGTTCCTTCAGTTATATTTGAGTGCAAAAATATTAATGTGTTTTAAAGTGAAGAAATTTTGTTAACATTTTTAGTGTTCCATTTGGCTAGAGTTTCTTGAAAAGGATGATTGTTTAGTGCTTTTCCCCCACAATTTCAAGTCAACTTCTAGAAAAATGCATTGCTGTGACTTTGTTATGTGATGGGATTGAGGTTATGTTACCTCATGCATGGAACTAATTATTTCTTGCTCCTTTCTTTCCTGTACAGAGCCTTTCGTCCTACTATAAAGGAGGATTTGAACAGAAAATGAGCAGGCGAGAAGCTAGTCTCATTTTAGGTGTAAGGTAGGTATGCTGCATATGTATTTTTATTTTATGACTAAGATTGTCTTTAAAAAGGGAAAAATGTTACAATAAGGTTATACTTATATTTATAATTACAAGTAGAAGACAGAGGAGAAGACCAAATATTTACAGTTTAAAACTTTAGTTCTAGGAGAACCTACTGGCTCAGGCTTATAATCCCAGCAACTCTGGAGGCAGAAGCAAGACCACAGGTTCTAGGCCAACTTAACAAGACTCTGTCTCAAAATAAAAATGAGTAAATAGGAAGGRTTGGGGATGTAACTTAGTGGTGAGCACCCCTGGGTTTGTTGGTAGCAATTAGACATGAGCAATGGAATGTTAATCAGTAATCCAAGAGCGGTCAATGTGATTGTTTCTACATCTATAAGATGAATGACTATAACCAACTTTAAGGTTTTCTTTCCTTTAGCTAGGTTTCATATATGTACAAAAAGACCCTGTATCGGGGGTAAACATGTGTAGGAACAATAACTGCAAATACTATATGCATCACAAGGGAAAGATTGATGCCTTTGTTGGAAAAGACCATGGCAGCCACTGGCTGGTCAACAATTCCAAACTAATTTCAACTGGCCTGAGTGACTGAAAGTTAGCTTTGCCTTATTATAATGTCATTTACATTTTATTGTAATTGTGCTTTTGATCCTTCCTACCCTGTGAGTTTCCATGCAGGTACTTATGGGTAATGGGCACATGCATGGAGATACAGTTTTATTGTCTATACAAGTGTTAATCATAGGGAATAGGAGGAATAARTTACACGATCCTGTTTAAATAATGATAAATTTTAGAGGACAAAGGTGCTAATGGTCTATCTCCTTAGTGACAACCTACTTGCCTTCTATCTCTTGAGAGTATACTATCTTTCAATAAACTTTGACTGTTTCTGCTATAATCTATCTATCTTGCTTGAATTCATCTCTTTTTGGGACACAAGAACCAAAGAGCAGGACACTATGAACCATCAATTATTAGGTTCATTCATGCAAAATGAATGAATGAATGAAAGAACGAATGAACTTCAGTTCTCAGAGTATGCCCCTCTTGCCGCTTAAAAAAAATCATCTAAGATTGTGGTGTTCTTTGTTGTTTTTTTTTAACAAGGAACTATTATATTTGAATTATAAAGTTTCAAATCAGTTCATCAAAATATCCCTCATTGTAACACTGAATTCTCTCTGGATTAAGTTTTATAATTTTGTCATATACATAATTATACTGCAGGTTCTTTTTCACAATTCTTTTAAAATTATTTTTTTAGTTGTAGGTGGACACAATATCTTTATTTATTTGTTTTTGTGTGGTGCTGAGGATCGAACCCAGTGCCTCACACATTCGAGGCAAGCKCTCTACCACAGCTCAACCCTCAMAATTCTTTTTGTACTTCTGCAGTTTGACATCTTGCATATTTTGTTGCACTTGTTTCACCTTAGTGTCCATTTAATGTCTAATTTTAGTATAGGAGAAAGTTATTGATTTGTGTGATTGCTGTATGATTATGATTTAATGTTAAAAATATTTTCCCTCACATAAATTTACAAGCAACTGTATTCATTTGTCTTCCTTGTATTCCATTAGAGCCCACTCTAAAGTTGATTGTATAATCTACAAAAAAATCTTGTAATTTAATCAATATGATTAAATAGAACAGATGATTAAAGTCATATTGACAAAAAACATTTAATCTTTTGTAAATTAGTACAGTTTTCAAACCAAAACATGTTATATTTTATGAACTGGCAAAAAACAAAAAGGGGGTGATGGTGTCCTCAGTTTAGCTTGTTGCTTTATTTAAATCTAAGAGATGAGAATTTTCTTGTCAGAGGATTAAAAATAACGAATAACACTGACCAGGRAAGGCAGATTAGAAAGTTAGATTATATCCCTGACTATTCCTTGCTTTATATTATTCAAAATGGCATTGTTATTTTTCTTAAACTTTTTGGACTCTCATAACATCCCATTCCTAGTCTTGAGATGCGATTGTAAAACACATTATAAATCCAAGCACAAAGTTTTTTAAGGGTAATAATTTAATGTTATCCAAGGAATCTCATGTTTATAGTAGTTGCTTGTATTATTGAATTTGCTTAAAATGTGTGATTATAAAGTTTTATTCTATTGAACTGAAAGCTATATAAAATTCACAAGGATAAATCAGTGATTCAGAGCACAGACTCTAGTATCAGGTGGATCTGGGTGTCAGTTTTACCACTTAAATTCATGACCTCGGTTTATTCATCTGTAAAATAGATTAGTTTCTACTGCATAGATTTTCTGTAAAGAGTAAATTATTAATATATATATATATAATTAGTTTTAGCTTTTCTGTACTTCATTTTCTTAATTTTTGAATTGGAATTAATATTTTATTCTGATTGATAAGAATAAGAATGATACAATGATATCTTGCAATTATCAGATAATGAGTAAATGTTGACCCCTCTCTTCTTATCTCTATCATGAATGCAGATGCTAAATATTTGTCTCTAACACATTAAATGAAAAGATGAGACTTATCTGCTTTCTTTTTTTCTTTTTTTATGATATAATTAATGCCACATTGTTTATTGCTTATTTTAAAATTCTTCCTTTTTTATTTTATTATTTTTTTAAATACACCACAACAGTGGAATGCATTACAATTCTTATTACACATATAGAGCACAAATTTTCTTATCTCTGTATATAAAGTATGTTCACGCCGACTTATGTGCTTTCCACTGACTCTGTCTTTCCTTCAAGGCAGTGTTGATTATGACAGGATACTTCAAGATGTGAATATGTTGGGG